TCAGTGTCCTTGCTGAATTTCTTTAGCAAATGCCTACATTTGATTGAATAAATGTAATTTCTTGAGAAATGTAGAAGGATGTGTGAAAAAAGCAGCTCATGTATCATCCATCCCTGTCAATACCTACCTTATGAGTATGTGGCCGAGGTTCTCAAGAGCATTACAGAATGTTTTCAATACAGCAAGGAGTACCAGCAGTTTGGCAGGACCAGAGAGGATTTACTTCTGTACTTTTGTGCAGCAAAGGCACGTGAAAATAAATAAAAAAGTAACCAGCACACTGTCACATAACTAGTTTTCCATTGGTATGTGCTTTGAGTACATCAGGGCACACTATCAAATCAGCATTTTATAAGTACTTAGAAGCTGCCAAAAATTGCAGTCAGTTCAGTCAATGGCATCCATTAGAGTAGACAGCAAGACTGCCTTCCACTTCTTAGAAAGCACAAGAGATGTCCCTTGGGTAAGGGTGAAAAGATCTTAATTTTACTCTTCCATGAACAGAAAAATATCAAAATTAAATATCACAGGCTTCACAAAGACAAAATTCCCACAGAACTCCCCATCCAGTTAATTTAGTCAAGGACTGCAGGCTGAGCTGTTTGCATCTCCAAAAGCACAACTGCACTAAAATTTGCAGCTACTGAGGATACCAAGGACAGTAAGGTGGGAGGGAAATAGAGAGAATAAAAAGAAAGAATTCAGATGCAAAGGGAGAAGGGCAGGAGAAGCAAATACCCTGATTCATTCTGTGCATTTTATTTATGTGTAAATCACCTTCAGCTGTTTTTCCCTTTGTTTTGTGCTCCGGAGATGCTGCACACCTGAGTTAGTTCTGAAGGTAAAAAAAAAAAATAGGGAAATAAAGACAGCTGCATAATCACTCTTTTGATAAGTTTCCTTTTAACTCCAAACTCTTGTTTTCAGATGCTAACGACACAAAGCCAAGTGCTCAAAACCCACTTGACTGATCTGAAAAGCAGTTCTACATTCCATACCTCATCCAGCAAGACTGTTAAAATATTTAATACTGTATTTGTTATGCAGATGAAAAAAAGACCAAGTTAGTGTTTACTAAGGAGTGAACATTCTTTCCTGACTTATTGAACTTTTTGATGACAAGAACAAAGCATGAAGCAAATCCAAAAGTATGTCTGGACCACCTTTAGAGTACTTGTCTGACCTCTACATAGGACATAAAGTACTTTCAAGTATCTTTGCACATCACAGAATCACAGAACGACTGGGGTTGGAAGGGACCTCTGGAGATTGTCTAGTCCAAACCCCTGCCAGAGCAGGGTCACCCAGACCAGGTTGCATAGGAAGGTGTCCAGGTGGGTTTTGAATGTCTCCAGAGACGAAGACTCCACCACCTCTCTGGGCAGCCTGTCCCAGGGCTCTGCCACCCTCAAAGTGAAGAAGTTCCCACTCACGTTTAGATGGAACTTCCTATGTTCTTGCCCTGGTACCACTGAAAAAAGACTGGCCCCATCCTCCTGACACCCATCCTTTAATTATTTATAGGCATTGATCAGATCCCCCCTCAGCCTTCTCCTCTCTAGACTAAAAAGATCCAAGTCCCTCAGCTTTCCTTGTAAGAGAGATGTTCTAGTCCTCTCATCATCTTCGTAGTCCTTGGTGCCAACTGCTGCAATGTACAGGTGACAACTCAACCTGCAGTTGCACCAGAAGCTCTGGGAGCACCAAGGCTGCACGGTGCCCTCCTGCACCAAGGCAGGCTGAAGGCACCGTGCCATCACTTGCACCGCTCTGATGGCTCCTCACACTCTTCCCTCACCAGCACACCCAGCCCCGAGCTGAGCCTGGGAGCATCTCCACGACCCTGGAGCACCCCAAGGCCCGTGAACAAGCTGAACATTTTGCCAAACTGACAAATCAGCGAATGACACACTCTGCTCTCCCTACCTTGCAGATGCACATCTGGGAATGACTTCACAGTCTCCACTTCAAAAAACTCCCCTGGCACTTCTTCCAGGAGACAGCGGCAGTTTGCATGGAGCAGCCAGGTGAATTCCAGCAAGTTACCAAAAACCTCCACCCCTAAACATCCCTAGATTTTTGCCATCATTTACAATTCTATTCCATGCTCCATTCAATGTCTGCCACAGCCCGTGGTGCAAACAGGAGCATTTCAGTGGCATAAGGACTCCCTGTAGATACATGAACCTGCTTTCTCCATAAAAGAATGAAGACGTGTGGGTGTAAACATTAAAGTCCTGATTTTCCCTTCCAAGTAAAACTCAGACAGCAAAATGGAGTGGCTGGATGCCCAAGAGTAAGGGGGAAGGATCATTCTGATGCCGAGACGTGGCCATCACAAACACAGGTTTTCAGTCCCAGGTTCGGTAGAGAGATAGAAACGTCGAAACCATCAAAGAAAGGGTTATTTTTTACTCCTTTTCAGTGCTGACAGGCAGGTTTGCCAAAATCCAGCCCTTCCCTACCTCTGCTAATAGCACAGCTGTACTTCCACAAGGAAGTGGGGCTAACGCTTCACCCACAACCTTCTTCCCCAAAATAATTGGTGTTTTTACTGAAGATTTGAAGGTCAGTTACTGGTGCTGCACTATTGCCTCCAAACACAAAGGCTTTTCTTATTACTTGTCCACTGTCCCTCTCCTAAAGGAGGTGAGGGCAGGAGTCACTGCAGGCAGTTCTTAGGGCCCACCCTCCTCCCAGTGCCACAGCCACGAAGGAAAGAATTTCCTCTATTTCCTCTACAGAGAAACTCCTAACAGGGATTTAAGAGTCAGATCACACAACTTTGCCCCCTCACCCACAGTCCGGGGGGGTTTTGACACAAGAGATGTTGGAAGTGATGGAGTTGTACCGAAGCAGTGGAGAGAAAACAATGCTGAAATAATTCAGAACATGCCATTTCCTTCTCCTAAATATAATATACATTTTACTACTACTTATTTTGAGAGCTGAGGAGGGTTTTTTCTCCCTGAAGTTCTTTCCATCACCCCAAATCCCCACAGTCAGCTGTCAGAAACCTGCACTTTTTTTTTTTTCACAGCTGTAATAGTTTAGCCTCTGTAACGATTCGAGGGAAATAAACAACTGGAAACCACTCTGCAGCAACAAGTGTTGTGACCGGAATATGCAGGGTATGGGATACAGCTTGAAATTCAACTGTAGAAAATCGATTTTAAGCTCAGAGGAAAACTGGAGTGGTGTTGGACCCGCTGGAGAGAGAGCAGCCCACCCAACTAATGCTCTCTACTTCCCTTTTGTATTATAAATGTATATTTCTCTAAGAAAGGAGCCTGACTGAAGCAGAGGCTCCTCTCTACCTCTGAGAGTCCCCACTGTTTAAGTCTACTACGTCCCAATGGAGCAGGGAGCCCCTCGGTGTGTGTGACACCCCGTAGAGCTGCAGCCCAAGAGGAGCAGCTGCCTGGTGACACCAACCCTCTCCCTGGAAAAACAGGTGATAACAAATTCTTCAAGCATATGCAAGTATTAAGCAACCACTCCACGAATTGCCAGCAGCTGTTTCAAGAGCCCTGCCCTGCTTGCCACAGGTATTTATTTAAAGTATGATCCCCACCCTGATACAAAACACATGCATAAACACATGTATGTACTGCCCTGGAGTCCCCTAAGGCTTCTGAACCCGGCCACGCCAGCAATTTGTTTGGTAATTTCAAATCTACCCACTGTGAAGCTTCCCATCATAGAAAGGGAAACAAAAAGAAAGGAAAGGAGCTAGAGAGAAGAACAGGGTCTAATTTCCTTGTCATTTTATAGACAGATCCTTAAAGAGAAAGTTGTAGAGCTGATCAGACTTGCACCACTTCTAATAGTCTCCTAATGAACATTTTGCTCCCACAATTAGATCATCCTCAGCCTCCATCCCAGACTGACTTACACCAGGAAGAACCCCCCACATCTTCACCACAGAAACCCTGCAGGTATTTTCACTTACAATAAGGTTTTATCATTTTAACCTTTAAGGAACGTAGCACTGAAACCTTTTTCTCCCTTATTCAGCTGGTATCACCTAATTTTTTGCTAATACTTAGAAAGATTCCATCTCTGCAGACCATTCATTGCTGTTTTCTGAAATAGTTCAGCTTTCCTCTGTACCTTTTTGTTGTCACCTCTGGCCTTGGCAGTGACAGCTTTAGCTGCCGCCTCCGGACCAGGAAGGAGAAGGACAAGGTTGAAGAAATTAGCTGAGGTTACAGAGGAAGCAGAGCTGTGAGTAGATAAAGGGAAAGCACCTGTTCTGAGGTTATAATTCTTTCGAATTAACTGCACATCCAACTGCGAATTCAGACAACAAAGCAGGAACTTGCCAAAAAAAAAAGTCTTAACTTTATTAAAGCGGTTGCTGCTGGGTTTGGAAAATGAAGAAAACAACAACTCTCTGGCTCCACAAATCCCAGCTAAGAACTCGCATCTGAAACAGCTCCGTGTCATTAGAAACACTGAATAAAGCAGTGATCAAAGGCACTGTCAATACAATTATATTCTCCGGGAGGATAAGAGGGAGGCCGAGACAACACACAGGGTGAGTAATTGGGTTACACTGGAGGCTGGTTTTTAAATACTGCCATCCACCGAGTGAACGCTGTGGGTCTCGTTTAACTGGGTCACCAAAACTTCAGCAAAAGCCCCCTAACTCAAGGCCAGGAAGTGCTGTTTGTTTGCCTGACTTTAGGCTACGAGATGTGAACACCAGGAATTGTAAGCAAATCTGTACAGGTAAGGGCAGGAATCTGGACCAGCAGATGGAACAGGTAAGAATTGTGCTCCTCAGCTTTTAGGACCCCTCTGCCCTTACAGATTATGTCATTTTTCTTCCACATAGTCCTTATTTAGAAGCAACAGAAACGTCATAGAAATTTAAGAGGAGAATAAGTGCCACATCCTCCCAAACAGCCCAGACAATGAGTCTCCGCCTCGGAAATTGTATCTCTGTCAAGCCCCAGGGTCCTGACAACCGTTTCATAGTAATTTAAAGTAAATACCTTTCAGTAGGTAATCCTGCCGCAGCCACGGCTTCAAGTTCCTGGAGGTCAAGGTTCTCAGGCTCAGTTAATGCAAGCGGGGATAGTTTTCTTTTGGCATCCTCAGGTGAGCTTTCTTGTCCCGAATCCAGCTTGCCTGGCTGAATCTCAGCAGCAGGGACATCTGTGCACACAAAATCCTCACCCTGCTCCATCACAGGAGGGTGGTTTTTGTACCGCTCTGTCTCCTGCTCTTCAGTGCTCGTGTTTACAGCCAAGTCACCTTCACCCGTGAGTAACATCCTGGCAGTACCTGTTTCAGGGATGTCTCCAGTTTTTAAGTTACCCGTTTTTGCTGTGCTTGACACTGTGTCACTGCTCTCTTTTACACCTCCCTGGGTCATACTGCTACATTCTAGTTCAGAGTCAGTTTGCAAGCAATCACCCTGGCTTCCTTCATCTTTTAAGTAACTTATTAACCCATGCACGGTCACTTTCTTTTCTTCTTGGGCATCTTGTGGATTTTCCAATGTTTCCAAGCACTTCCCATTTATTGCATCATCCTGTATCCTGTGCATATCGTTCTGAGACTCTATGTCACACATAAAATCACCGTGAGTGTGCGTCTCCTGATTTCCCCCAGGTGACACATTAAAATTCTCTGGCAATTTTTCACGATTGTAAGATCCTCCCAGGACAAACGCCGAAGCTGCCATGTCAGAGGAGCTCTCGGCAGCCTCTGGATCCCCGTAGTCCCTTTTCTCCTGTTCATTTGGCTTAGGATCCTGGCACTGTTCAGCAGGAAGGCTCACATCCTCTTCAGCTGAAACTGGTTCTACATCACACTCTGTAATTAAGTTATTTCCCTCTGCACCTTCCAAGTCACTCTTCTGCACATCGCCTGTGGAGATAACAGCTACAGCAGGTTGGTGCTCCTCCTCAGAGTACGCAGGGAAGTTCTCAGCTGCTGCCCCATCAAATGAAGCTGGTCCTCGCTGCTTTATCTCTAAGCTGATTAGCGATTCAGGATCAACGCCACCAGCACACACGCCTCCCTCCCTTTGCATCTCACCGCTCTCTGGATGCTCAGTGGGTTTTGCTGTTTCTGGCAGATTTTCTGGAGCGCGTTCAGCGGGTGTAGCGCCATCCAACCTCGGGACCACTTCTAAACAGCTACCAGGCTGCCTCCTTTTCTCAGCCTCCTGGAGACCGGCTGGAGGCAGCTCTGCCACTGTGTTTTCTTCTCGCAGAGATTTGCCTTTGGCAGCTTTGCAGGAAGTCTCAGTAGCTAAAGACAACCCTTGCCCCTCTGCTTCTGAGGTGCCCTCGGGAGCTCCTTTGCCCTCCTGGTTTGACTCTGAAAACTTCTCAGCCCCACAGAGTTCTGCTGGGTCCTTGGCCACTGGACTCTGCTTGAAGCCCGCATGGTTTTCCGACAAAAGCTGGGGTAACTCAGCACTCAGCGTGCTGTGGACGGATTTTTTAAATATCTGGCTGATGTGCTCCCTGAAATCTGGGAGGCTGGAGCCAATGTCCAGGGAGCTGCGAGTCAGAGCCTCATGCTCCCTTCCAGCGTTCTCTGCAGGCTGCTCGGAAATGCTGATCCCTGCCCTGGTTACGTTAGTATTCTCTTTTAAAAGCTCTTCCATTTTTTCTGAATTCCCAGGTTTCTCTAAGATCTTACTGCACTTGTCATCTACGCAGCTATCGGTTGCAATTTCCTCATTACAGCCCTCTTGTTTACCAGCAGATGAAAGGCTCAGCAGCTTCCCTTCCAGAGCAGGGAGAGCTAAAAGAGACTCTGCTGAACTGTCACTTTGCTGCTCTTTGAAGTTTACCTCACTTTTTGTTTCTTTGGATTTAATTGCAGATACCTCTTTCTTCAGCTTCTCCGAATTGAATGGCGATGAGTTTCCCGTGCTCTGCCCCACATTTGAATCCTGTGGTGGGGCTGAGCTTCTGTCTCCAACACCCTGAAAACTGTGGTTGGGAACATCTTTTCCATTCACGCGGGTACTCCCCGCGGAGCTGTTTTCTGAATTTGCTGGTTTACCTGTGCCTACCCTGGGTGAAGGACCTGAGTGTGCAGACCCCTGAGAACCTGCAGCAATCTGCAAATTAGAGTTAGTTTCTAAGGCATCTGGGCAGGCTACAGCTTCCAGCTCATTAGGCAGTAATTCCCCCCCAGCACCGTTGTCCGTACAGTTTCCAGGTTGCTGGCTGGGATGGCTGGGCACAGAGGTCCCTGTAGAGAGGGCTGTAAAATTTGCTTGACAATAACCAGGCTCCTCTGGTGTCTTTTGAATGTGGCTGGATTTATATGAGTTATCGGTGGGAATCGCTTCCCCGTGTGCCCGTAATGGTGAAGGAGATCCTTGTGCCCCTGGACTTTTATCACTTTTCCTATCACTTGTGTCTGTGGCAGAAGCACTCTCCTCACTATTTATCTCCATGTTTCCATCTTTCCAGATGATTTCCCCATTAGCAGTCAGACCTTCAATCTTTTCTGAATTTTTTGCCATTAATGGCGTTTCCCCTGCAGTTTCTGCCTGAGATATTCGAGGATCGTTTTTCTGAGAATTATCAGAAGCATGTGCTATTTCTGTATCGCCCGGCAAAGCCTGTGCTATGTTAGTGGCACTTGCTGAATCCTGTCCCCCTGGAAGAGCACTTATAGCAGCAGCACAGCTTTCACCAGCATTATCCTTTATCCCACATAGGCGGCCTGGCTGTTCATCCTTGTCAGATTCTTTAGGAAACGCATGGCTATGACATGCTGCTTCATGCTGACTACCCCAGATCAAAGAATTATTATCCTGCTCGGGCTTGTCTGAGATTTGCTTAGTGCAGCACTTTTCTTCTGCCTCGAGATGGGTTTTGTTTTGCTCCTCGCCATCTCGCCAACGAAGCCTGGGCACACCAGAAACGTTCTGCTCGTGTTTCCCACCACACGTGTCCTCTGACACCACGGCACCACCTTCATCCACGTCCCTTTCTTCTGCTGTGTCAGAGCCACGCTGGACAGGTCCTGGACCTGGCACAGGAGACTCTTTATTAAGGTTGTTTGAAATGTTTAGAGGTATTTCTGGTACGTTGCTGTGATTGTTTAGGTCCAGTGGCTGGTCACATTTTAGAGCTCTTTCTTTGTGGTCCTGATCCTTTGCTCCAGTGACAGTTTGAAGAAGACTTTGCTGCTTCTGCTGTTCAAGTCCTGTATTTGAAATCAAGTCACCAGCAGCAGACGCTGACTCCTCCATTCGCTCTGCTTGGAGAAGAGCAGCTGGAACACCTGCATTTTCCTGCAGTTCTCTGATACTGCCCTCCAGGGCCTCCGGAGAGCTGCACGTGTCACCCTCAGGGGGACAGCTGATGTGGTTGTCACCCTCTTCCTCTACATGAACTTGCCGAGGAGCAGGTCCTGAAGTACCGACTAGAGCCTGGGAGGTTTCTGTGGGTCCTGAAGTACCAACTAGAGCCTGGGAGGTTTCTGAACAAGTCATCTGCGTATTTTGGTGACTTTCTGCAGCCACTCTCTCCTGCTGAGCTTGCACCAGCGCAGCCGGTTTGCATTCACCTCTCAGTGCCATATCTGCATCCTCCACGAAACTTTTCACCGCAGTTTGGTGCTTCCCCTGGTGAAAACCCTCATTTTCTTGAGCATCCACAGCACTGCTTTGTGCAGCTGCAGGTCCTTGCTCTGGATCCCTGCGAGGCTCTTCAGGGATGTGACCCATCTCCTCTTTGGCTTCCGACACCCGTGAAGCCTCCTCAGTTTGGCCAGTCCCTGCCAACTCATTTAAGCCCTGGAGCTCAAGTTTGGTTTTGGACATTTTTGCACTTTCTTCTGACTCGCTGCAGCTCTCAGGCTTTTCTTGACTCCCAGTTTCTCTAGCAAAAGCCTTTTCCCAGGATCCGTCCTGCTCACTCTGCTTAATATTATTGTTCTCAGAGTGGAGGAGCAGTGAACTGTGTGCACCGACTAAACAAACCTCTCCAGTCCCAGTACAGCCTGGCTGGCCCCAGGTTTTGCCTTCTGCCTCAGCATTAAAGCAATCAAAGCTGAGTTGGTACGCTTCCCTTGGAAACCGGGGTGAAACCACGGGCTCGTTCTCCAGGTCACTGGTGGCACCTGCTTCCTCTTCACTCATCTGTTGTTCAGGTTTCCAACCAAAAGACTCTGAATTGTCCTCGGGCGATTTAAAGTTACTGTCTAAATTCAGAGGATCTCCCTCAGCTCCTTCCCTCAGGTCACTTGTTGAAGTCTTTTCATAAAGACTGAATTCTTTGGGATTGTGTCCCAAATGGGTGTTTTCTGTGTCCTGGTGGTGGCCACTAACAGAGTGCACTAGTTGTATTTCTGCCCCGCTTGACCCCTCAGGTAATTCACTGGTTTCTGTCACTTGTGCCTCCTCTGTTCTGATTTCAGTTTTTTCTCCTGTTAGATTCACATCAGTATCTTTTTGATTCAGCTCTGAGGATCTGCTCAGAGAAGCACTTAATGCATATTCTTCCAGTAATGCTCTTTTATCTACCAGGGCATTTTCCTTGGTGGGATTGATAACGCTTTCTGTTTCAGAAAGTGTGGTGCTTTCTCTAGACACACCAGCAGCTTTTATAATTTCATTGCTACTGGCTTCATCTTTTGGGCTTTCAGTTGTGACAGCTGATTTTTGTTCTTCCCCTTGCTTAAATGATAAAGGCACACTGAAATGCTCGGCACTAACAAGCTCATCCTCCTTTTGAAGCTCTCTTTGAAAGATGGGTTGGTTTTTTTCAGAGGCTGTTTTCACGGCTTTGCTCCTCGCTGGATCTTGAGAGTCATTTCCAGGCAGATATTCCCTTGAAGGCTCTTCAGCCTTTGGTACCAGGAGGAGATTTGGAGAGTTCGAAGGCATCTCTGACATTAAAGTACAGGCTTCTGATTGCTCCCCTTTGCTTCCATATAGATTTGCCTCATCCCCTTTAGCTGTTGTTACAGCCCCCATCTGTAGATTACAGACTTCACTCATCGCAGCGAAGCCCTGAGCATTCACAATTGCTCCAAATTTTTCACTGTCTGAGCCTCCTGTTGCTGGATAATTTAGGATTAAGGTTTCCTTTTTCATTAGCAGACCCTCTCCACCATCTGTGTTCTGTCTACCTTGTTGGGGCTGACCTACTTCCAAAACTCCTGGCTCCTGCTTGGCCTCCTCAGCAGTAAAATAATCTCCTGCTTCTTTGCCCTGGGGCAACGTGCTGACATGTGGTTCCCTCCTGGCACCCAGCTGCTCGCTCTGCCAGAGCCAGCCTGATTCACTCAGCCTCATTTGTGTGGCCCCTCGCATTTCTGTAATTGCTGCGGGGGGGCTGGGCTCCGGGCTGGGGTTTCTGGGATCATTCTCACTGTTTTTCATAGAAATGGCAGCGATACCGTCACACTGTGGGTCTCTATTCACAGATTTGGTGTGTGCTGCTCCCTCTTCTGTGTCATTCACTGGTGATGGCACTGCTTTGCTGCAATCTGAGGTTGGGAACGTGTCGCTGCTGCCTGTAAGACCTGCTGTGGCACCTTCTTTGGCACAGTCTGCCAAAGGCACAGAGATGGGCAGACTCCTCTCTCTCGCTCCTGCAGCCTGCGTTAGGAAATCAGAGTCTGCTCCTCCTCCTTGCTCTTGCAAGATAGTGGTCTGTCCTGTCACCTCTGGAGACACCACGCTTGAATTTGGATGGGATAAATCTTCAGCACGGTAGCTACCGACGCCTTCATTACTGATGCTGCCAACAACGGAAACGTTTATTTGTTTCATGTCAATAAAGAAGCAAAGAAGGTGAAGCAAAGAAGAAAGGCAATTGGTGCCACTGGGGTTTCAAAGCCATGCAGTACATGCACTGAGGAGCTGATAACCTGCTTTCAGACCACCAGCCAAAACCAGCAGACACACATCACAGTGATTTAAATGCTTGTTACTCTGGAAAATAATGTCCCCAGTCTTACCTGACAGCCCCCACGCTCACGGCATGCATTTTAACCATCCCAAACTCTGTCTTAGTTAAACGTGGGGAGAGGGGACACACATCTCACAGGGAGCAACATGGGGAAAAGTGACAAAAATAGTGATAAAACCACCACAGTCCCTCAAACAATGGTTTTTCATTTCTCTTTCTATGAGAATACTCTGTGCAGAGCTAACGGCCGTGCGACCCGCAGTGACTGCTGTTATCTGGCTGTACATTTATTGTGTGGCAGAAGATTAAGAAGGGCCCATCTGTTGAATGTTGTCTCCAAGTAATCAGCAGAGCTGGTTCTCACCAGAAGGTGAAAGGTCTCACCTTGCCACCCAGTGACACACGCCCAGTGAGCTCATTTTATTGCACTGTTTGATTCCAGTGCATATAAGCTATGGCTGTTGGTATGATCCCTCTCCCCACCCATTACAGATAAGACAGAAAAAAATGGAGATGGAGCTGATGTGGGTGCATTAACTGCAGAGAAGAAGGAGGAGTTATTTTTAATATTTTTTCCACTGTGTGGACCTCAGTTTCCATACCTAGGTCTGTAGAGCTGATGTGGGTGCATTAACTGCAGAGAAGGAGGAGGAGTTATTTTTAATACTTTTCCCACTGTGTGGACCTCAGTTTCCACACCTAGGTCTGTAAGTGATGGAATAGCTTAACCTTGATGTTTCCCTCACCTCCCTTGGGAACCCCGGGCGTATTTTCATCGCCTTAGGGAACACGGAGTGAAAGATCAACTCAAAACTGAACATGGAGTTGTACCTAGGTGCAAGGGGCATCGTTGACTTCAGCAGAAAGAATAAATCCCTCCCCCTTGCCCCGATCCAAAGCCAGATCCACAGACAACACGCTGTCAAATGCTGGAGGTCGGTGTGATGGCATCACGCTCCGGTTCCATCGCTGCATGAGGACTGGTGGCTCCTGGTGAGCCCATCCCTGGAGCTTTTCAGAAATTCCCAGTGCCCTACCAACTGGAGTTATAAAAGATGCTTAAAACACCTTCTGGAAGGCCGAGCACAGATTGGATTTTAAGTAATCTCCAGCAATCTGAGAAGCCTCTCTCCCCTTCTCTGCCCACACAAAATACAGGACTGAAAAGGGAGTCAGTGAGGAGCTCTCGGGTCCCTGCAGTTAAAATCTGTGTTTATACAAACACTTCCCCTTCAGTGACTCCCAAAGCAGCACTGAAGCTCTCGAGCTGTGCTACAGGACACAAACTGCCCTTCCCGGGGGGGTCAAAACCCCTGCTTATTCTGAGAACTGCCCAATGGAACGATATCTTTCTGAGAGGGCTGCATGTAAAACTGGACATGAGCCTGTCTTAGACCCTAATAGCCTTCTTTGGAGTCATTACAACAGAAAATAAACTAGTCTTTAAGGAGATATTGAAATTTTCCCCAAATCTAAGGTAAAATATCTATACCACACAATTATTTTATAGCTTAACCAAGTTTCAGCAATTCTTGGCATCAGTTCATACATTTAATTTATCTATACCACACAATTATTTTATAGCTTAACCAAGTTTCAGCAATTCTTGGCATCAGTTCATACATTTACTTTATAACACAAATACATTTTATTTAAACTTTTAAAAATTCTTTTGCCCCATTATTTTTTTTTTATTTTTCTAGCACCTGGAAAACAACCATCCATGTAAAACTGACTCTGGGAACGCCACAGGTGGCAATGCAATACCTAAGGTAAAATATCTATACCACACAATTATTTTATAGCTTAACCAAGTTTCAGCAATTCTTGGCATCAGTTCATACATTTACTTTATAACACAAATACATTTTATTTAAACTTTTAAAAATTCTTTTGCCCCATTATTTCTTTTTTATTTTCCTAGCACCTGGGAAACACCCATCCATGTAAAACTTCCTGACTCTGGGAACACCACAGGTGGCAACACAATACTGGGTGTTTGTTGGATCTCTGACAACATGGGGCATGACAGGACGTGAGCAAACAGCAGGGAGGTGCCACCAGACTTTCTCTAAGGAAGGAACAGACTTTATCATTTGACATTAATTTTGGACTCAGGGACTCAATTAGAAGAGGAGGGGCAGAAACCACAGCACTGAACTGGGGAGGGGATGGCAAAGGGGGAGTCAGTTGCCATTCCAGCTTTTCATTCTTGTTGCAGAATGAACTGCAATTAGTTCTGACCGATTCAATTGCTCGTTAGCAGCCCCATGGGTCATGCCCAGGGTCTGCAGCCCGGCAGCGTGCCCCTGTCACAGGTCTGGTGTCCGGGGGGGAACAAACGTGGGTGCAGGTTCAGGGATTGTGTCAGGTCCCTTCACCTCTGTGAAACTGAGCACTGGAAAAAGTAGAAAACACCACCTACAATTATACTTTCTCCTTATCACTTATCTTTAACCTCTGATTCTTTGCTCGTTGCTAATTCCCTATGTCAACTGAGTTATGAAAAGCAGAGTAATAAATCTGGGACTGCAGCATTGCTCATGTTCATCACACAGACCATACGTCATTATACATTTGCATTTTACAGATTTCAGCTGAAGTTTTCCTAAGATCTTTACAATTATGACTCCTTTGTTACATTAGACTTCTACTTGTTATTAAATACAAAACAGTACCTAACCTGTCTGAAGTGGTTACATTTTTTTGGATATGATTGCTAAAACCACCAACTACCTACTGCCAGGCTGGTAGCAACTTTGCAAGGAGCCCCAGCAGTAAACCTGGGACTTGGCAGGCTCAAGGGCAGAGGACAAAGCGATGAACTAGGCTATCCAGCATCATGAACCAACTAAAACAGTTTGTCTGGTGTTCAATAGTGCTGCAAACCTGTCCATTTTACTCAGGAGCAGGTGAAGGAATTGGGACAACTTTGTAATTAATGTACGCTGAATAGAATTAAAATGACAGTGCCGGCATGTGCTGTGACAGCAACTTCAACCCCAACTTTTGGAATGCAGTAGTACATATTCATCATCTGTGCTACTTCAGCTGCTTCAATGTTTTATTTAGGACATCACAGAGAATTGAAAGGTTCGAGTTTACAATCACAGTAAGACATGTCCAGACTGATCTGTTTGGATAACTCCATTTATTTTTCTCCTTCTGATTAGATAACAAGGAAAATTATACAGGGAACAGAACCTACATCTTCCTTTTCATTTTCTGTAATCTTGCTTTTCTGCCTGCAAGACTCTGCTGGGGTTCGACAAACATCTGTTGGGAAGGACTTAAGCACAGCTGATCCTGCTTTAGGGCAGGAGGATGGACTAGATGACCTCTTAAGGTCACAACTAGTCCCATTATCTTCCAACTCTTTTTGAAGGGAGTAACACTACAGGGAAATGACACCACATGCTGAAGATAATTCCCCTGAGTAAAACCCAATCTACATGACAATCTATTAGCAATCAATAATTACCTGCAGGGAGCATGTATTTTCAGACAACCCATTCACTACAATCAACATGATCCTAAATGCTGGGTTTTTTTTTTTTAAATACAGGAAAATAATATGGGTTCTCTTTTGCAGTTACTTGATCTCTTTTGTTTGTAATCTGAATTTGCTTGATATTGTTGAGGGAAAAATTCATACTGGAGGGTAGTATCTAAAACAAAACCTGCAAATGACAAAGCGTGAAAGAACGAGTTCCTCGTAGTTCGCGTAGTGCTTAGGGTAGAAAGAGTCATTTTGCTGGTAATACTTGCTGCACATAATTGATGAGATGTGAAAAAAAAAGAAAATCCAGCCACACAAAGGCCTAGGTACATACGTAACTTGAAATATTCAAGAGTCCCATCAAACTCAAGAGTTATCAAAGGGAACTTTTCCTTGTTTTAGAAGTTAGGCACACAATTAAGGCTTAGCAAGTTCAAGGCCCTACCATACTGACCAGATGAATGCTATCCTTCCAGTTACATCATCAAATAACAATGAGTTAAATCTTTATAAGTCTAAAGGGTTTGTTTTGCATCAATAATTACTGAGAAATTGCTTGTTTGGAAGCACACTGCAAATTTACTGATTAATTTTTAATACCTGTAGTTAACCTCTTCCACCTTCAGAATATATTGTGGCAAGTTTGAATGATGCTGGAACAATTTAAGAGCACTGCCCAGTTGCTAAGGTGTTTATTAGGACGGCACTGCCTGGTTTGTGTTTAGGGTGTGAAGCTATAAAGGATGTTAAGAAATCAATGATTTATGGTGCATCTCCCATGAATACTTCTGGATTAAGAGCTGTACTCAGTTGACCAGCCATTAACACTTGAGGTCGCAACCTGAATTACCCTGTTTCACCATCCACAGCAAAGGTAAGTTGGGAAGAGACGCCCAAGGATGTTAAGCCTACTCTATAAACAACAAGAAATGATGATCCAGCAGAAGAAAATTGTAGGTAATTTAAAATTTCCTTTTATTCCTCTGCTTTCCTTCTAAACCATGGAACAGTTGTTGGAAGGACGGGCAGCTTTTCCCATCCAGTCACACTTATGAGGGGAAAACATCGAGTGCTGAAGCCCTTGAAACCCAGAGGTCACATACGGCGACGTAACTCTGAGCCCCGGTGATTATATTCCCAGGAGCCTGAAATCTGAGGATGAATTTAGAAAGCACGGAAGGGGACAGATGCACAGCCAGCTCGGCAACCACGGCACACGTAGAGCTGCTTCTCAAATGTTTCTGTTTCCCCTGACACACCAGAGATCAGCGTCTACATTTTGAGGTTACACATTTGGACACACTGTACTGGAGGACTCTAGTTAACTTAAAGAATCCTGCACTTTAATCTGTCCCTAAGAGGTACTGAAAGCTAATTAGGAACACGGAAATAATTTCCACATTCCCTTTTTAAAAAAAAAAATTAAAAAAAGTCAGAGTTGTAGAGGCAGGGCAAGTCACTATTGGAACTTTTCAGTGTAAACAAGCACATGAGAAATCCATCATCGCTAAAGGGCTGCGAACAGCAGCCAGCTGCCCCCACCCTCCCTGCACGGCTGAGCTTTCAGGAAAAAGTGAAGCAGGAATAATGATCTATATGATCCTCCTGGGAACCCTCCTGCCCTCCTCCCCCCACCCCCAATCACTTTTCACCTCCTTGTTTCATACACAGAACAAAACGCGGGGCCGGCAATATTTTAAGTGTGACCCAACGACGTTATTCTAACATTAAAAAAGTAAGCTGTAACACTGCTGCAGCACGCAAACGTGGCTGGGTCTTCAGTTCCAGTCCCACAACGGGCTCCTGGTCTCCATCTGAGATATCTGGAGAGGCAGCAGGAAGCACGGCACCGTGGGGATGGCCCCACAGGATGTGTGGCAGCTTCTTTCTGCGGCAGCTCTTGTGGGTCCCACAGGATCTGTGCACAGCTCAACAGCCGGGAGAGCAGCCAAGGTCATCCATGAATCATAGAATCATAGAATGGTTTGGGTTGGAAGGGACCTCAAAGATCATCCAGTTCCAACCCCCCTGCCCTGGGCAGGGACACCTCCCACTAGACCAGGTTGCTCAAGGCCACATCCAGCCTGGCCTTGAACCCCTCCAGGGATGGGGCATCCACAACTTCCCTGGGCAACAAAAAGCATTTATTCCCCCAAACTGTTTCTGGCTGGGTACTTTTCTGGAAAAACTGCCTCTCTGGGGTAGAGTTGTCCAGCTCAGGATTCCCCAGGTGTTTCCCTCTGCGTGTGCGCCAGGAGAAAGGCACAGGGACATCCCCGCAGGCACCAGGACAAAGCCTCAGCCTTCCTAACTGTCCTAGTCCTTCAGCATTTTTATTTCACACAGACTAATTTACAGATTAATTGCTGATGGTGTCACATTTCAGAATACAGAACCAGTGAGAAACAGGTAAAAAAATATTGGACTGAAGTGCAGTATTTTAGAATGAGTCACAAATGTTTTGAATTCTAAAACATAAAAATTGAAAAGTGACTGCAACAATTTAGGAGAATTTGTGGAGGACAGGAGAAAGCCACCCAGAAGACTGGAAAAAAGCAAACATGGTAGTTTTCCACACAGAGATACTCCAGCCGAAGATGGCAGGTCACAGGCTCTTAAGGCTCTAGGAGTTCATTTCAGGGTGGAAAAGATGCATCCCAAGCAGCACACGGGAGCCAGTTAAAAATAAACAGCCTGGAATCTGAAACTTCAAAGATTTTCCGTTTATTGTCTTTGTTTCTATTTTGGCAGGATATAACCTAGAAGCCACTAAAACAAGCATGTGCCAGCAGTTTCAGGAGTAAGGCTAAATAAAAAACAATTAAGCTCCTGCCCATCTAAGAAGTTTTCTGAAACAAGAATCTTATGAATCCCTTGGAGCTGACTCATCTGACGAGGTTCCCCCTCATCCTATGGCTCCACTCCCTGATCAAGAGTCCCTCCCCATCTCTCCTGTAGCCCCCTTTAGGGACTGGAAAGGGCTCTAAGGTCTCCCTGGAGCCTTCTCTTCTCCAGGCTGAACAACCCCAACTCATAATGCCTATGCTAATATTAAGAAAACAAAAAACAAACAAGCAAGACTGCACTTGCTGCAGCCAAACCACAAATATTGAAAACCCAAGATAACCCCACCCCACAGTCTCCGTTATTACCGCTCCATTCTAACCCTAGCTTGGACAGCTGAGCGTGCTGGGGGGGTGACAGCGTAGCCTTGTGTTAATTAACTGTACTCAGCCCATTGTTTCAAACCACATCAGTGTGGAACTACTCTCTCCTTCAGTTAGCTCAGTCTTCCAAAAGGCCACGTGCAAGAATTGCTGACGCTCACGTAAACCATCACCCAGCTCAGCTCCAGTGTCTGTTATTTTTCCATTCATGCTTAATCCTCCTGTACCTGCTCGTAGCTGCAGCCTGGAATTGTGCCTCCACTACAATCCAGACCCACAGAGAGAAAATTATCTGGCCCACTGCCTTGTCAGAGGACTTCTGGCTTCAGATCAGGCTCCATTAACCATTTATCTCTACCGTCGCTACCGAAGGAAGAAGAGAGATACTCGCTACTTTGAGATTAAAAAATAAAATGTATGGAAAAGCTGCTGTTCTGAGCCCTACAGTGTGCTAAAGCACTGTTACGAAGAACAGCAAGTTTGGAAAAAGAATAGCATGGATACGATGATTTGAGGGTTAAATCCTGTGTCACCAAAGTCGCCAAACAAATCTTTCCGCAGTGACTTCTCTAATCTTAAAGACAATTCATGAAAACACTTTAAAAAGTACCCACAGCCTAAAAATCCTAGACATTGATCAGCAAGTTACGGCTACTCCTTCTAAGTTGTATTTATGATTCTATCCCGGGTAACGTTGATGATCTAGAAAGTGTAGAGCCCTACGTTAAAATCATGCTGGTATTAGATAACTTCTTCATTGAAGCAAACGAAAACCCTAGTCACAAAATTCAAGTATTCAAGTAAAAAAGCATTAATGCCTTGGACAATATATTCCCTTTGAGATATTTAATACAATCCAGATTATGTTACCTTCTGCCATCCTTAATAGCACTGAAGAATACCTGAACTCCAAAAGTAGTCCTATTTATTTAGTGTCAGGTTTAGGACGTTTAGGAGAGTGCAATTAGCTGGGTTGGTACTTTTTAGTGGGATTGTTACACAGAGCTGAGCGCAGCATTTTGCAATTGTTTACAATTACATCTTTCTTCACAATCATATATTACTACGAAAGACTCTTCAACGTTTCTCCGACTCGGATGAGAGTTTATTAGTAGGAGCAAAAAGCATGGGAAGTTTAGGTCAAGGGTTACTCCAACAGCTGGGGCCCTGTTATAGCTGTGCAGCAAGGCGAGAAAGGCAGGTTGGTAAACAGTCAGTAGTCACGTCTTGTCAGGTTATTTTGAAGACCGGACCATCATCATCCATCAGGATGATCGATTTGGAAAATCACACAAAACAGATTTTGAAAAACACAAGAAGTGAAACGTAACAAACAGCCCCAACTATCAGCAGCAGCAGGGCTTCGATGCTATCCACAGGAAGAAACTTCATTTCTTACCTTGTAGGTCCTGGAGTTGTCGGGGACACGCTCCCAGGCGGTTGCACAGCAGCAGGAAGATCTGAGATGTCCTGACCTCCAGACCTTTCTTCGCTGTTTTCCTGAGGGCTCCTTTTTAACCCGTGCCCGTGACCAGGAGGTTGTCCTAATTCTGAATCTTGTGGAGTGCTCTAAAACGAAAAAAGAACAATTTAAATAGCTACTGCTATTTTGGAGAATACATAAGCTTCAGGAGTTTCGTTCTGCCCACTCACAGACAACTTCTGTGGTAGATTTCACTACTTCACTACTACTACACTACTTGCAGGTTCCAAAGCCAAGCCTTTTTTCTTTCTTAATGACAGAAAAACAGAAGGAAGTGGTTGATCCAAAAATAAATACTAGGAAAAGAAGAGGGAGAGAAGAATGCAACAATTGTTTTAAAGCAGCCAGGGCCTTTGCTGACCCAAGGAGGGTATCATCTTCTCTTTTTCCAAGATTGGCAAATACTTCCTTGCTAAGCAAGTTTAAAATGAGAAAGGATGGAAACAGGCCACAAACTTTGACATTCATAATATTAGCAGTATCTTTGGAGTCAGGTGAGAGATAGTGCCAATGTCAATCAAGACCCAGCACTTGAGTCCAAGTCCAGATTCCTTCCCTCCCACTTCAACAAAGCTCAGGATGCCTCCCAACTGACATGAAGGGCCTGACTCCTCATCACACTGCCTTTCTGTAACAACAGCTACAGGGAGTGCTGCCGTTTCTGTAGGAATAGCTACAGAAATGCTATTACACAAATGTGATAATGATGCATCATCTCTTCTCATAGGTAAATATTTGCCTGGGATCTTCAGATCTTCCTCCATGGAGACATGCCTTTACGTGAGTGGTTTTTTTTCGTGTGGGTTGTTTTTGTTTGTTTGTTGTTTTTTGTTTGTTTGTTGTTTTTTCTATTGCAAACTATTGTTTTTGCTCCAGGGAGGAAGAGAATCCTGTGCAAGTGCCAGGGCCGTGACCTGATGTGCCTGCAGATCCCTGGGGTTCTACAGCACCCCTGGGGGGCTGCTTACAACAGGTAGTGGCACCTTCCTGCTGAATTTATTTTGGCAGAAGAGCTGGTAAGAGCTGCTTTGAACAGCAGTCGATGATGTTCTTCAAGTACAACAAAAGAACCGGAGGAAAACAATTAAGTGTAAAGCAAAAATTAAGTCTGAATGAAGAAGCTCCATTTCAACTCCTCTGGCACATCAAGCAACAGTGAAAGAGAAGGAAAACTGCTTCATCAGATCACCCTCAACGTACAGTCACTGGTTTAATTCTTAACTGTAAGTAAAAAGCCTAAGGCACACTTAACATAAAGACACATCAGTGTATGTACTGACGATGAGAGAACCACTTCAGAATAACATCACAGATGGAAAGCACAGTACACAATTCCAACTAATCTCTTGGGTGTTTTCACTCTCAATTTTTAGGTTTATTTTGTTCTAGAAGTGGTCAATAAATGGCAGAAAGCTATTGCTTACACAATCACACTTCTCTGCGTGAACACGGTGTGCTCTCACACAACCAGAGGCTGCTTGTGATCAGAGCCAGGGATGAGAGGACACCCAGTGGACAAGAAAAGCCCATGTAATGAGCAATTGAAAAGGTCAGGGCGCACTGAAAATATAAGAAGACTTCCTTTAGACTTAAGGCAAATTTGATTAACTCTCATATCCTCTGCCTTTCCCTGGAGGAATGCCTTCACTACCGCTTTGTTTGCAAAAGTCTCCTTTATCACACCGCTTTCCGCTGGGATAGACCAAGGGCTCTTGGTTTCATGATTATTAAGCACTTACCCAGCATGTGCTGACATCTGGCATTTGGAATATTTATCTAAATATATATGTTGGCCCCGAAACCACAGCATACGGCAAAAAAATACTAGAACGTCAAGATTTACACAAGGAAATTTGTCTCTCCCAGCCAGAAAAAAAAAATAAAAATAGCACTCAGTTAGCTTGCAGGGCTCTGATTTGCTCTTGGTGCTGTGTTTTGGGCAGCTTTGCTTTTGTTTGCATGAGAAAGTTTGCCTGGAGAATTTATTTCAGCGTGCAGGCATGTGTGCGGAGAGAAAGAACTATGAAAAAAATGCGCTATTAAATTAATTATCAGGGAAAAAACCCCAACCAACCAAAACAGTGCCTTCTGGAGCCGTATGCGATCATGCTGGAGCCTGTCCACGGCCCAGTCACCACTCAGAGACCACCAGTATAACCCAGAGGCCACCCACTTGCCAGTAAGCATTTAGAAAATGCACCAAGCCAAGGTGGGGGTATTTATATCTTGGCAGAAGACAACTAGAATCACAGAATTGTCTAGGTCAGACGTGACATCTTGGCATTTAGAAAATGCACCAAGCCAAGGTGGGTTGGCAGAAGACAACCAGAATCATAGAATTGTCTAGGTCAGACGTGACATCTCGTATCATCTAGTCCAAACACCAACCTAACACATGGGATTATCATCTAGTCCAACCACCAACCTAACACATGGGACTAGGTGTCCCCAACCCCATGGACAGTCAGTCTTCAGAGCTTGCACTGGCCTTGACCCAGCAGGGAAGCAGGAGGTTGGTAAAGCCACAACAAGCCACACGAGGTGACCACAAGTGCCACGCTCTTACTTAGTCCATGTGTCACGTCTTACTGCGAGAGCTGCAGTTGGGTCAGTCTGGGAGGTGAACATACTGGCAGCCAAATGAAGAATCATTTTCAGGCCACTTGCAGACAGAAATGATCACTTCTCCTTTCCCAGCAGGGCAGGGAGGGGAGGGAGAACCACAAGAAGAACCCCGAGAAATTAGGCCGATTTACAAATTTGTCCAGATGCCTCCAGCAGTTGGCAAGAGCACTGAGAACTAATTCTTTATTTTTCCTCCTTTCTACTACCACCATCTCAAATTTTCTTCAGCTGATTTGGGTTCTAGGCAGGAAGAATGCCTCACAGCTCTCTTCAGAAGATGGAGAGCTGCATGCTTTGTCCTTCTTCTAAAGCCTCTGTCATATTCCATTGGCAGAAAGGAACACAGCAAAGAATGAAGGCATTAATCTACTGCACTCTCAGTACCCACACATTGCTTCTAATTAATCTCTCTTTCACAAGATTGGCCACTTAACTCAAAGGGTGCCTTTAGGCTACAATCCTCTGTCCTCCTGACCTGCAGTCATCCCACCTCTGGAGTGTAACAGAGGTGCCTCCTGCACACAAGTTTCTGAAGTAAAATCCCTCTCTGTGCAGAGAGCCAGTATCCTTTGGATCATCCCTCCAGAGCCAGGAATCCCACAAGCCACACAATTACTGATAGTTAATCAGCAACACGGGCTCAGTCATGATGCTATAACTGACAAAGAAACACTACTCACCAGCTTGTCACACAACAAATCCAACAGCCCGTGGCTACCAAAGCTCAAACATCACTCACAAATACAAGGAGACCCAACCCAGGGGTTACATCTCCTGGCTCCAAGGCAGTGGTACAATTATTGCAGGACAGTTTGAAGCTGTAACGTGGCATTAGGCTAATTTGTCATCGACTCCCTGAGTTCTGTGAGTCTTCACAGAAGATTTTGGGGTCAGAATCATTTTGGTGGAAGTTTGCTGCGTTTTACTCTTACTGTTCATCTCCATAATTCACAAGTGAACTACATCACACAGAGAGTTAGTGCCTGCTCTGCCTGAACACCTCCTCTCATCCCAGCTGGGATGTTCCCAAGGGAGACACAGGGAAGGGCCCGTGTCCCAGGGATTTTTACCAGCTGTTACACCACATCTTAATATCTGAATAAAACCACCCGGGAGAGGCAGATGGGGAAGGCACAGAGAATGATCACAACAAAACAGGTAAATTACCTGCACTGTTTTGAAGACTACTTCTAACATTTTCCATAAGTTTTTTTTTTTTTGGAGGGGGGGGGGAATACTGGTGAGGGGTTTTTTTGTTTAGTTCATTGGTTTTGACTTTTTTCTTTTAAAATAGTTTTGGGCTTTCAGGGATCTAATAAGTTGTAGTTCATCTCCCAGTTACCCCTAAACAACCGTCATTGGCCACAGAAAAATCTTGACTCTTGTTCTTCCAGTTCCAGACATGACCAAATTTAACATATATTAAAACAATCTTTGTAACGTAGCTCCTGTTGGAGCAGAGAGAGGAGTTTGAATTGTTGTCACTATTCTTTCTCTTTTTCAAGGCTGTCAGGTGTATAAATGATCAAAAAGGAAAGTAAGGCAAGAGCACACATGGCCAGGAAAGTATATTTTCAAAAGAACCTCAAAGGAGGATTTTAACAATAATCTGAAATAAATCTTAATGTAGTTATTCAAATGTAAAAGGAACTACTAATATTCCAAGATATAGGAAAACTTTGCGTATTGGTCTGCTACATTTAATGAATTAATTTAACATCACAAAAGAACATGCTCTGTGAATCTATGCCAGCCAGCAGAAAAGCGTAATTCAATTTCTCTATCAAATTTTTCAAATTTAAGCTAGTTATGCAAATCAGGTGCTAAACTAGCTTTGCAGAGCATGCTTTTTTATTTTTAATTAACATCTGTGAAAACAATTAGAAAGACCATGTTTTGTTGAAAAGTATCATCAGAATGCTTCTGTTAAATAAATTACTTTCGAGGTTTCAACACATACAGCCTCTAAAGTGATTTACTACAGAAGCTTGCAGCTGAATTTGCTCCATGTTTGTTTCAAATGTAGCACGCTCCTTTTCGAAGGGGATTCTGAGATTATAAAAAGTTACTTAATTGAAAGACTTAGAGAAATAATTATATGAAAAATCAGAAGGCGGAGGTTCTAAGCAGTTTTTTCTTTAAGTCTATGATAATTAAAAAAAACAAGAACAAACAAACCAAGTTTGTCCCAGAGAGTGTACAAAGAAGAGAAGGAAAACTAAACAGCCAGCACTTTTTTTTTCTTTTAGGCAATATGAATAGAACAGATTCTCCTGAAATGTGTAATATAATTTGCATTAAACCTTTCCAGAAGCATTGGATTCTGCAAGAACACAAAGTAAATCTACGGGATCACTTTATGTTCCTGAGCAGGAGCTTAAAAGTTAAAAAAAAAAAAAAAAAGAGAACTCCATTGAGACTGTAGCCAAAAGGATTATGTGCACTGCTGTACTCTGGCTAAAGTTATCATACCAGAGAGAAATTCCTTTAATGCTAGATGGGATGGGAGCCTGTTCACAGCCAAGCTCCCAAAACACAGGCTCCCCTCCCAGTTCAGAGCCCCAGCACCAGCCCTGGGCCCAGCACAGCCCTGGAGCCTCCTGCTTCCCCACCAGCCACCAGCCTCCTGCTCCCAAAGCACAAAACAGAACTGGTTTTAACACCCAGAATTCACACCAAACCCCTCCAAATAACTGATCTTCCCTGGATTCCCCTTTCTTGCCTCCTTTTACATCTGCCCTCTGCAGCATTCCTCCATTATACACACATCCTTTTATAGCCCTCGCTGAACATGCCAGAGCTCTGACTCGCTCAAAGTCATCTTTGAAGAGTTACATTAAGTTTCCATTCCCACTAATTCCCTCTGGTTATTGGGAGAGGGGAGGGGGGAAACTGGAACAAGCCTTTACACGTCCCGATCAATAAACCAGAACTTACCTTTGATTTTTCTCCATGTTTTCCATTACAAATTGGTGGGATTTTTTTGGCTTTTTTTTTAGGTTTTTTGGGGAGGGGTTGTATTTTTTTTTTTTTAAATCTGCCTAAATTGGTGGGATTTTTTTGGCTTTTTTTTTTAGGTTTTTTGAGGAGGGGTTGTATTTTTTTTTTTTTTTTAAATCTGCCCGCTAGAAGTGTTGTTTGTTATCCCCCAGCACTGCCTCCTCGATGGGAGCAGGCAGCGGGGGTGCAGGTGAACTCCAGGACATGGAGCAAAGTCCAGCCCCGTGGTGCCCGAGCTCTGGTTTCAGGATGAAGAGTAGAATTTTAAGTTGATGCCTTTTCTAATTAAAAACCTCAAAGGGACAGGAATGCAAAAATTGGCATTTGGTATCAGTTTCATTTAATCTGCTGCTTACAGATACAAGAAGCAAAATGTGATATTTTAACAATGGTATTTTTGAAACATTCTGGTTACAACATCTATTGCAAGCACCTACGACCTTTTCCTAGAGAAAAAGGGTTGCTTTCCCTCCTGGGAAATACCTCCTGAAATGACTCTGGCTGCGACCCTAAAAATAAACACTCGTGTGTGTGTGTGTGTATGTGTATACATATGTTTATATATAGTCATCAGCTCATCCTTGGCTTAGCATTCTCCACAGAGTACATGACTTCTCTCGGCTACAGCAAGAGCAATTCAAATGTTCAGGCTTCATTGGTCATGTTTATGGCCCTTCCCATCCACTGGCAGCATTAAAGTGTTTATCTCCAGATCCTTGTAATGTCAACATAAGTGGCTTCTTAACAACTTGCTGCTCTGTTTAAGCCCTAGTCAGTTTGAACATACGTAGCACAAGTCTGGGCTGGGCTAAATGAAGCACAGATACAATTTCAGGTTCTGGGTAACCTGCTCTTTCCATCTGTTTTTGTGATCCATGTTCAACAGGCAAAAGAAGATCCATCGTTATCCTTGGAACTGCACTAGTCTCGCTGCAGCTTCTTGTTTTCCTTTGTCCCTTTCCTGACAATTGGGGGGCTGGATTATTTCGTTAAGGATGGCAGGTGTGTGAGATACAGCAGGAGAGAGAGAAAATAAAATTGATGATTTTGGGAAAAAAAAAAATCTTCACCACATAACCTGCAGTTTCCAGTCAGTACAACTTCAGCTGAAGCAGCTTCTGAGGAGTGGAACACTTGAGGAGATGCTCTCAGATTCATATGAGGTGCTGTTGGAAAAATCAGCTCCACGCTGGGTCCTAAGCTCTGTGCTGCTCCCCAGACAGTGGTGTTTGTTGCCTAGTAATGTCTAACTACCCACAGCTGTGGAAAATGTAGGCACAACATTTTCACACTATTTCTAAACGGCGGAATGTAGTAAATAATTATAGAGGTTCTTTATAAATATAAAATATTTTTCTTTTTCATCTGTATTCATACATGTACATTTCCCATGGTGGTGGCTTTACAGATGTGAAGGAAGCTTTAACCATCAATTCAGAAGAGAAGGATAGTCTTCTAGCTTCCTTTTGACTGTGCTTTCAAATTAAAATCCCCATCACAACTTTGAATCTTTATTCTTCTTTCATCCCCCTTCCCTCATTCACCGGGAAGATGAGAACAAGTCTAATAATTACTCATTGCAGTGAGAAATGTCCCAGAATTTGCTGCATTTGCATAAACGGATGTATAATTCCCTGAAACCAGACAATGTTCTTTTTGTGTAAACTCAAACCAATGCTTGGCGTTACTCACCAGAGAATATTGGACCAGTAGCAATTACCATTGGAATTAAGCATTAACGAGTACGGTGACTGGTGACATGATGTAAGCACCAGTAATGGCCATGCTGGCCTTTAGCCAAGGGCCAGTGACACCCAGTTGTGGGCAAGTGTCGACGGGAAGGATGTGGAACAGCTCCACTGTCCTGTGCACTCCCCATGTGCAGTGCATGAAATGGAAGGAAAATACGAAGGAAAATAGTAATAATTACTTAGAGAGTAAATGTGGTGAATCATGTGAACACACCAAACTCAAACACCCATGTAGGGTAACACTGTACCTCATTAAAATGCTGTAGGTAAAATTATTATGCAGCAAATTGGGAATGTGTTTTTGCTCCTAAATGAATATAAACAATGGAATGTACACAGATGTTGTTGCACTATTCAAAAAGTATGTAAACACACAGTACGAGCACCAGAGCTGGGAGGAATCTGCCCAGTTATCAGATGTGGGAATGGAGACCAAAGGCTGGGAAGCTACTCATGTGCCCAGCGCATTCTCTGCCAACCCCCATAATACTGGGATCTGAATATGAGAAAGAATAATAATGCAGAATTTTAACTGCAGAAAGTGCAGGGGTCAGATTTGTTCACAACAATTAAACAGAGAAATCCTAGCAGGAATACAGCATGGCCCTTCAGACAGACTCTACAGAAGCTATGGCCCCTCTGCACCTCTGCACGTGTTGCCCATCTTACACATTTCACAGTAGAAAACAAACAAGAACAAAAAAGATCATCACACCTTAGATTTATGTTTAAAGAGAACCAGACAGTAACATAGATGTGGAATAACCAGCTTCAGTTGCCTACTTACTTATTCAGAAAACAAAGCAGAAGAAAGGATAAAGTAAAATATATAGAAATAACTTATGTGGTAGCTGACTTTGAAATTCCCTCTTCGACTGTGGGGCAAAATACACACTGCTAGAATTTCAATTCAGCAGCAGTTTCCACCTTCAAAGAGCTTTGCAATTACTTGGTAACTTTTGACTTTTTTGTAATCATGAGAAAGGCTGGGAAAGAGGACAGCTCTCTCCTCTTCAGAACTTCAGAGGGCAGCAAGAATTAAAACCCTGAGTGAAAATCATTGCATATTAGAAAATACAGCCTGTTCTAGCTTCAGAAAACTTTGTGCTCGTTCTTCCTACCATACAGAAATATGAAGTTTTCAATTTCCTCCACCCATCCCCTTAAAATTTCAATTTAAACACATTTCTCTTCACGTGGAGTTCTGCTTTTTAAGCAAAATGCACCTTACAAATAGCTTATATTTAATTCAGCATAAGCCCAACAAGCTGGGCCACTGTCAGAGACCCCTTGTTTGGAAGCCAACTTTGCCATTCTAAGAGAGCAGGGCACAAACCTAAAATCTCTCAGCAGTTTGGGCATGTGCTGTTATAGCAAAGCAGAATGTGGTCAGTTCATATAAAATCACATTATTAAATACACTGCTGGCCCTGGCCTTATTTTATTTATTTATTATCTTCACTCATTTCGACTAAATTTAGATTATATCTTCCTCAGAGGTTGGCATTACAAGACTCATTGGGTATTTACTTTTTCTCTAAGTGCACAGTAGCACATTTATTCCACAGACCTTCTCTCTTATTAAATGAGTTCTAAACTTAGCCCAGGCTCTCCTGTCTCTAATGCAAACCATGTGTAGGGCTTCCAGATGACTCAGCTGAGAGCCAGAACTGGGCAAGGGTGTTCTCTGATAAATACATAAACAAAACCAACAACTCATGTCAATTGGTACTCAGCATTAGAACAACACCCACTGAGCTATTTTAATTGTGTTAGAGTTGGAAGAACAGGCAGGATGCAAAGAGGGTCAAAGACAGGCCGTTTCTCTAAAGCATGGATTGCTAGCAAAGGAAAAAGTTAAAAGAAACTAGATTTTTATTTTTTTTTTTACAACTTGCTGAAAACTTAAATGTAAAACTTGTGAATTTGCAGTCAGCGTCAAAAAACACAAAAGCCAGAAGCAGATGCATAAGAAAAAGAGCAGCCAAGCTTGATGCTAACGTTCTGAAATGCAAACCATGCAAACCAGTTTCATCATCCACTACCTGCTGCGCTCCTTGGCTCGGTGGGATCAGGATGACTTTATTTGCATTGGGAACTTCTGACTAAAAATGAACATATTTAAATGTTTTAGTGGCTGCGTGAATTTGCACTGTTCATTAAGCCACACTCGTTCAGCAGATTAAATGGCGTTTAAAATTTTATTACTACTTCTTGTTATTTCTGTGTTAGTAGTGACTTTTAAAGTACTTTGGTTTTCTAGCATTTATTTTGCTTTGGGGTTTTTTGGGGGGGTTTGGAGGGGTGTTTCAATTTGTTTTGGTTTTTTACAGTCTGAAAAGCAGACCAGAAGCTTACTTTCCTTATTAGAAGAGTTTTTTATTACATTCCTTAATAAATTCAATAACTTTTAGGGAAAGTCTTCTCAGCCTCAGAAGGACTCCTGGAAAAATGTGAAATTTGAAATGGCTTTCAAAAACTTCCGAAGTGAAAGCTGTACACGTTGGAGAAGAAATGCTCATTCCTTAGTTACAAGAATTAACACATTCGCCTCTTCCCAACCCCTGAAAAAAGTTGGGACCAAATCTTAGGCTAAGGATACAACTTGTCCAGAAAAACAACAGAACAACCAAAAATTATAGAAAATTTTTCTTCTATCTGGTTAATTTGAAATCCTGATTCCTTTGGGAGGGTCCACTTTGCAATGCACAAGGTACTGCAGGTCTGTACTGGGTATTTCGTTGGAGAAGAAATGCTCATTCCTTAGTTACAAGAATTAACACATTCGCCTCTTCCCAACCCCTGAAAAAAGTTGGGACCAAATCTTAGGCTAAGGATACAACTTGTCCAGAAAAACAACAGAACAACCAAAAATTATAGAAAATTTTTCTTCTATCTGGTTAATTTGAAATCCTGATTCCTTTGGGAGGGTCCACTTTGCAATGCACAAGGTACTGCAGGTCTGTATTGGGTATTTACTGTTCTGGGTATTATTAAAGTAAATACCCAATGCCATCTGAGGTGGAGGCAGAACGAACCCTAATGCATTTTATCATCCACCATAGCACATGGAAGAAGAGAGGATGAAAATACCACATCCTGGTATTTTAAATGTTGAAATAAATAAATTAGAACTTTTATTCAAACTTACATCAACATAATAACTTCTAATGTAATTGTACAGGACTAGCCATAGCATATGGGTCCCTTCATTTCCAGAATTTAAAAATAAATCACAAAACAACAACATTCATTAACAAGGCACCCTTCTGAAATGGCTATAAATTCCTGGATCTGCACACACATGTTGCAAGGTCATTTCTGAACAGGGAGAAGCTCTGAGGGCTCTGAGGGCACCATGGGCATTGCCTGGCTCCCAGGGCCTCTCTCATCGCCCAGGACCCCATTTCAGGTCCCCTGAGGACATTATGGGATGTTGGTCTCCTGCCACCCCTGGTCACCCCGGGGGGATCCTCTGCAGCTCCTGTCCCCCGGGGAGCAACCACCCGCACAGCGCCCTGATGCTACTGGGCAGTGTCTTTGCCAAAGGAAAAACAAACAAACCAACAAAAAGTTGGCTTCAACTGCCATTAATGACAGTTAAATATGAGTGTAACTGGGAGCAGAAGGTAAATGTGGGGTAAGCAGCCCATGAAACCAATTTCTGTCAGGTTTGCTCTAGGCTAGTAGGGAAGGGAAACGCGACCCCATTGTCACACTCACCTCGTTTTCTGCACTACTGTTCTCATTGCCCATTTCGACGCTGACGTCCAGGATCACACAGCAATTACAGAGAGATCACTGGAAGAAAAGAAAAAGCTCTAAGTCTTCCATTAAAACAAACAAAAAAACCTTAAAATTGAAAATTTGGAGGAGCATCATCTCAGTCACCCTATCAGCTACCCCTGCTGGCAGTCAGTCTGACAATGATTTTAAGTCATAAATCAGGGACAGAGAACTCCTAATGTTTTTATTTCATAACGTCTCTCTGCTTTGTTCCCCACACTGGTTCCACTTACGCTGAGAGACGCTCCTTGAAACTCAGCTTTGTTGCTCTGTTTCTGGATTATCCCATGTCATTTGAGCAGAAAGGCATTTTCCTTGCCAAAGCTAGTCTGGATGCACAGCCCCTCTGAAAACCATGTTGTTTTAACTGTATTCAAACCACATGTATGTCTTGGAGACCCTGGACTGAGCTACATGCTCACACTGTCAGGCCCACAATGTTAAACCTGACCGTTACTGTAACACAAACCATTTTCCATATATGCTCTTAGCTTTAAGAAAAAGAGGATTTTTTTATCCTTACCACTGGAGTCATACCCTCCTTTTCTTAGGCATTATTCTGCTTCCAATTTTATAAGCTAAACGCATCATCTTTGCACTGAACAGGATCTGCCTGCCTTAATTACTATTGGTTTTATACTAGTTCAACTCTTAATTATTTAATGTCAAAAAAATCCTCAGAGCGTTAGAACAGTAACCAGCAGCTCCGGAATTAGCGTCTCCTCAGGCATCATTCAGTTCTGTATTTTTTTGAAAAGAATACTTAACAGTAAATGTACACAATAGAGATTCACTTATAGATATTTACTTCTTTTTCTAGACATTTTATTTTAGAGCTCTGGAATTTAAATTCCCTGTATTTATTGTATTATTGGGCAGGTGAAAATTACACATTCCCTTCAATTTTTTTTTCTTCCCAAAGAACGTGAGATTGGTCTGTGGCACACGTCAAGGAAAAGCTCCATTAAAGTCAAGCTGTAGAAGAAAGACTGTAGTTTGTTAGCCAAGGAAACCATAGAAGCTTTTAAGGAATGTTATTACACAGTACACTTTTTTAAACTGGAAAGATTATTTTTCTTCACAGGCGGCTTGGAGAGAGAGAGAAGTTCAGTATTGTGCTTTTAAGCTCTGCTCTGTTTAAACTTGAGTGTCTTCAGGGGATATATTGGTGCTTGAACTCGCTCCTGTGGAAAACACTGGGGCCAGGATTGCATTTTTAGTGATTAATTAGCAACACTAGGTTTTATCTGCTGAGATTACTGCCAAATCCTATACTGTTTTAAAATAGCGCTGAACTAAATTAAAGACTGTATGTAATATTTTTAAAATCACTATTCCCCGGGTATGAAGTGCTCCATCGTGAAGCCCTGTGTACAACCAAATCTCTTCAGGTGCAGGTCAGTGAAATGTTCCAAGAAAATAGGTTAAGATTATAATATTTTAAGTATGCATTGATATAAAAAACCCATTCTGACACTGTTAGAGCAGCTAAATAAGGTTTCAGTGGACAGGAGAGAAATAATAGCTTTGCTATAGCACTATGCTTCCCTCAACAGCCAGCACATTTCCATAGGAGTGAATATACTGGTATTTCTGTGCCACAGACCTAAGGAGATTTTCTCTTCTTGGCTCTTTTTCTGTTCCCACAAACATCATGTGAAAACACCAGGAAATTTCAAGCTCTCAAAGCTCTGACAAGCTCTTGCAGTCATAATGAAAGCTGGGGAATGCATGAAACTTTCCGAGTGCCCATGGAGTTATTTGGCTCATTGGGGCCCATGGGGTCTTATATATCAGTTGTGAAAAATGTAAATTTTGCTTATCTCAAGTTCTCAAATAGATTGGCTACTGTGGGACATGGTGTTACTCTGTTTATTTTAAACTAAATTCACTCTGGTGCATAATACACCCTCAATCCTTCTGCACCAGCTCAGTGACACCGACTGTTAAGAAAAACAACTGCTAACAGAGGCCAAATTTGTAATATTCAGTTGAAAGAAAAAAATACTTCATTTACAGTTTTTTATTCAAATGTACAGGAATCAAATAGAGAATTACAAAGGCACAGCAAAAGTGCTTTGTGAAAGCTAGCTATCACCAATCCCCACTAACACAGCATATCATACTTACTCTTTTCTTTCCCTGGAGTATGAAATTTCACAATTGTCACACAATTGTCACATTACCATTCGCTTAATAATTAACATAAATGTCATAAATAAGGAATAAAGTCATTTTAGATTCTCCAATAATGAGACAAGTGATAATAATGCATGAATTGCATTGCAGAGTAACTAAGATAATTTTTCAGATTACAATGTTACTGTAATCCTTTTTACATACGCTGTTTCTAAAACACTTTCCCAATGCACAAGCATCACTTAGGTTGCAAACTACAAGCGCTTTATCATATGTATAGGATTTCAAATAAACATTAACATCATGCTAAAAATCCATTCATTAAATAAACATAGGTTAAACGAAAGATAATCTTTCTCATCTTTCTACACTATCTCTTACAATTTACATGTCATTATTACAATTCTTTTAACAGTACATATCTCAAAAAAGGCTCACAATTACCAAATGGGTCTGATCAGCCTACAGAGATTTTTGTACGTGTGCAGAAAAACAACTGCTTTCCTGAAAGGGAGAGAGCAAGAAAATGTTTAACTTTGCACTTACATTCCAGGGTTAATCTGGCAGCTCTGGATTCACTGACACTTTCAGAGCACGTCTTCAAACCCTTCCTTCCATCTTCACCTCCCAAGTTTTCACCTTATTTTCCTCCTACTTCTCCTCAGCCTGACATGAAATGTAGGCTTTCTTTCGGGGACCCACCTTCATAACCTGCCGAACAACCAACTTGCCTCCACCCCAGGGCGAAAAAGAAAACAAGTTCTGCTTCCTCCACCCGGGCCTCCCCCTGCTCCTGGGAGCCAGCCGAGGCTCTGCGCCTCCTAAATTGAGTCCTAATGCTTTTTTTCACAAAAGCAACCCCAGAGAAAATGGATTCTGCTTAAAACATATTTCACTTCCAGCGTTTCTTGGCCGATGGTGTGAGCAGGGCTTCTGCCACTACAAAAATCGTTCAAACAGTATCAACAATAGGCTGAAGTTATGCAGGTGTTTTCAAAGGAAAATTCATCTTGGGGGGGGAATAATTATTCAGTATTTTGATTTCAAGTATATTTATGTGTTTGTCTTTCATTATATTTCATTTCTCATATTACTCTTGGAAGCTCTCAGAAATAGCTGCTACTGAATGTTGATGTTCCTGTTCAGGTTAGGCTGAAATCATTTCCCATTTAATCATCCTGAAGGGTGGAGACATGACAAAAACCCTTTGAAATGTGATGTTGCAAGAAGTACTGGTTTATGGGTGAGCTAATTGTCATTATTAATGCTCCTTGTCCGTTCCAGCAATACCTTCCACAAAGGGGTGCTCAGAAAGACAGCTGACAACAAAAGGCAGTGTATTTATCATTAGTGGCAACTCCAAATGATTAACAAGTTTCTGTAAACACCAGTGGTGGTATTTGGTACCACATGGTAAAGGAATTGTCAACTGTCTGCTCCTATGCTGACCTGAGCATGGAAAATTCATATCCGACAGGAATAAGAGGCAGGATTTCATAGGGTTTTTCATAGGATTTTGTGTTGTCTGCTGGCTTTCCTGGGGTTGTTCTCTGTTCCACAAAGTCTTGGTCTACAAACATCTGGCTTGAAAACATCAGGCATGTGAAGAGCTGGAATGAAGAGTTGCAGAGCTGGGGACTACAAGCCTTTTTAACCTTTCTTTTTTTATGAAGTTGGTGATCCAGCAATCCGAGCCTCCAGCATTATTATACCACCTTAAGCCACTGTTACTGTTCAAAGAAGAACTCCATGGATCAGAAATAAATTACCTGCATTCCCTGAGCTTTTTCGGGTTATAAAGTAAAGTACATGTGAGTGGGTTTGGTGGTGTATAGGCAATATGATATGTCACATAAATCTGTGCTATTCCTCTAAGAGTTCAAGATGGAAAAGTCAAGATCTGCAGTGAAGCTCAGAAACTAAAAGATTGAAAAGGCCTGTCATATCCCCTTTTCCCCAGCCCACTTCAGACTCCAGAAAAGCTGAAGTTCATCAAATCAAAATTTTAGTGTGCTCTTCCTTAGGAAACAAAATAGGGCCATTTACAATGAATAACTGAATTTTACAAATTCATTACTTATAGACACCGAATTATGCAATGTTCTTGTTTAGGCTCTCTGCCATGAATTTAAGAACAGGGGTCCTGTGGAAGCTCAGGAAAACACAAGCCTGGTGTCCTCACTTCTGCTAGCAGCATTATTTCCTCATAAACAGAAACTGAGCTCATATTTGGTGCTATTCCATTTCTCAAGCCAGAAAATGCCAGAAAGTGAAAGCGACGAAGCCGCCTTTGCAGAACAATCGTCTGGCACAAACTTTGGGGAAAATGACCTGCTGGGAGTTGAACACGATTCCCAACTGTGTATTTTTATCAAGACACATGCAAAGGAGAATCCCCCTGTTTGGCAGACCTCGTATAAGGTTTGCGAAGCCTCACAGACAACTTCCCTGCTGCCAGGACCACAAGTCATGTGAAATGAGGGGAGCGACACCCGTGCTGCCAGACAGGAGCCACACTTCTGAGCTCTGGGCCTAGAACAACTCTGACAACATGGACATTATATCTTTGGGTCTGTTTTCTGACCCGTGCTTGTGTCTAAATCAGGATACACTCAGGTCCTATCCCAACCATTCCCAAACAACACCTATTCACTGCAAGTTGTTCCCACCTACACAGATGCTGTTCTGCTCTGTTCCAGCATGAAGTCAACTCAGTTTGTGTAAGCCACTAACTGTGAGAGCGTTCCTCACCCTCTGATGTTTTGGTTTATTCTCTTTGATTTTATGACAGAACTGGTGGGAGAGAGAATGTACTCACATCAGGTGGCTTTACTGTTATTTGCTGGAATTCCCCTGTGGTCCCTCATCCACGCTTCATGCTCATCCAGGGAGAATGCCTTTTCTTGATCAAAAGAAGATCTGACCCAGGGGGACTGGAAGACTCAAACTAGGGGAAAACACAGCTCAGACTTAAAGGTAAGCCATGTAGTGGGTTAATGACTTAGGCATTTCAGTAAGTTCCAAGCAATTTGTCATGAGTGATCAAATTTAATCCTACTATATACAGTACTTGGTATACTTACCAGCCACACACCACTCAGATACGTTAGCTTCTTATATATTGAATACATGCTACCTTAGGTATTTATATAAGACAATTTAGTTTGAGCTCATTTCACTTTGTGGTATAAATATTGCCAAAATAAGACAAAATGTTTTTATGTTCCTTACTTCCACATGATTGATAGTACACATAAAGCACTGCAAAGCTCTGCTGGAGCACAGGTAAGGGAAGGAAGGAGGGGTGTGTTCAGAATTTTGCTCTTCTCTTGATGTAACTAATGCAAAATCAGTCTTAGTTTCTGCATATGAGAACAATATCGTAGAAATCTTCAAGAACGACTTCAAGTCCTTCAGCCCTTGTTTTCTCACAAATTCTAACAGAGAAAATATCAAGATCTGGGAGGGAAAACATAATCCTGTAATGAGAATTAGTAAACACGTAACCATGTAAAAGTGCACAACTTGATGGGAAAGGTGTTGCTTAGCAACCTCAGCAGCTGGATCTGCTGTAAAACCCTGATGTTGCTCGGCAACAAAAAGCTGAGCTGGCCTTTTGTGAGAGTTGTGAAATGGTATTTTGGTGCCCTTCCCCCAAGATAAGCAGAAATTGCCTGTCGGGACAGCACCGCTGAATGTAGGGTAGGACCCAGGAATTAAAGGCCGGCGAATGAGACAGCTCTTTGAAACAGCCCAGCCTTGGCTGATTTGTTCCACTTAATGTGCACATACAAAAGAAAAGAAACAGGGAGACTCCGAGTATCTGCCACTAAGAGACAAAAGAATTTTTTAAAAAACTAATTAAGAAAGCATAAAAATTTTTCTTCCCATTTCTGGTTAATTTTCAATCAGTGGAACAACCTGACCTGGAAAAATCCCATCTATGGCACACCTCCACCTCTTCTAATGACACCACTCCTGGGCCAGGGATGTCAGGGCACCACGGAGGTCTCACGGTGGCACCAGAGGTGGTCAGGCTGCAAAACCACAGTCAGTGTTCAGGGAGGAAAGGAAAGGGAACTATTTTGCTACAAGGTGTAACCTGGAAAAAAAACATGGTGATCCAAAAGTGCTTTGATTCCTGATGGGGTTCAACCTCCTTGTATAGCTAAAGGTAAAAAGTTTTAAGGTAAAAAGTAAGGAAAAGTTTTATTCACGCTCACAGTAATGAAGTACTTAGATATGGCAGTGGTAACAATTAAAGAAAATGCAAAGGCCTGATTTATACATTAGAAGTGATTTTAGAAAGTCGTGAGAGACATCAAGTGCCTGCAAGACTTGACCTCTTGTTTTTGTCTCTGTACAGAGAGTCCCTTCTCTCTCCTTCAGATCTTTTAGTCTAAACATTCATGGCACAAAAGACGTAGAAGACAACACATACTTCTCTGGAGATTAATCGATTTGCCCAAGGTGAAAAAACAAACACCAAGTGTTAGAACTAGGATGTCAGCACTGGCTTCCCCAGCATGCTCCAGTTGCAAGACTGTGCTGGAATTTGAGTTCATGTCACTCCAACCTCCATCAGGGTTGCTAATCAATTTTATTTTACAGTCTATTTAGGAATATTTTCCCAGTTGAAAAAAACAAGTCTGTCATTTCAGCATTTAACAGGACTTTGGTAATACTATATAGTTTCATGCAATAATAAGTAAAAGTGATTCTGGAAATCTTAGGTGTGATTCTGTTGCCTAAAAGATACACCAAGTGTCACACTGGACACCTTAGGGTATCCTGCTCATCCCTTAACTGCCTCTCTGGAAGACAAGGGTCTCAGAATCAGAAAAGTTCTGTATTTTATCTGTCATGGCCACCGTAGGGTGTCTAAACTGGTGCTTAATGCCTACATCTGTCCATCTCAATAATCTTCCTCTTGTGCATCGAGCATTAAATGTTTAGAGCACATGTATGTTCCCTTTTCTTTGCACTGACTGCAGATGTCAAAGTAATGCAGAAGACCTAGTCTTTAAAAGTGATGCCAAAAGTATTTCATAAAATATATATGATCCAAAAAAAATCACATCCGAGTATCGGAGCATTTCTCTTTCCAAACCACATCTATACCAGCAGTTTTCCACCAGATTCCATATGCAGCACTGAAGTCACTGGGAAGGCTGTTGATCCAGACGAAACACACAGCTCTGTGTGATGGCACTGGCTCTCTCTCTGTCCACACGGAGCATGTGGCTATGGAGGGCTGGAGAAAGTTTTGGAAGGAGTGGGGGGAGTGAAGGGTGGGTTTTCAGAACCTGCTGGCTCTCTGCTCCCAGAGCTGGTCTGCCCGCTGTGGTGTCCAGTCACAGCACTGGGGGTGGTGGGACACAACTCAGAGAGACAAAAATCCATATTGAGTTGAGGCAGAAAAGGAGACATAGAGGAAGTGAGGACTACAACTCAGAGAGACAAAAATCCATATTGAGGCAGAAAAGGAGAATTAAGCAAAGTGGGGACCAGTTGGATTAACAGGTCTCTAGAGGCACATATGAAAAAGCACAGGGAAGATGTGTCACAAGGTGAATTATTTCTTGCCTCTTTGCGGGTTCTTTCTCTTTCAAACTATTTTCTTTGCTGTCCCTTCTGTAGTATTTACCTCTCTCCATGCATTGCTTTTTTTCTCCTCCCTTTGGCCAAGATGCTCAGTGGAAATACAAGGGAGAGCAAAGAGTTGCCATAAGTTTTCTGAGAGCTGAGGAGAACGGCCGAGAGAGAGGCAGGGGGTAAGACTGCTCAGAAGGTGAGAGATGCCTTCCTCCTTGTTCTCCTTTGGCTGTGGGCTCTGTCAGCAACTGTCTCTCCCTAATTGTGGGTGGCAGCAGTATCTCATCCACTGCTCTCTTGGCCTGAGGTGTGTGTTGACATGTCAGAGTTGGCAGGTCGGAGTTGCTTCTCAGGCTTCGTGCAAACACACCCCTCCTGCCCACACAAATATCACAGAAGTTCTTCTTTTTGGGCTTCTCCAAAGCCTCCGTCACTCTGAGACTTCCCTTGGGCTGAGGGGTGGACGCTTGTTGATTTTTTGTGCTGGCCCAACACAGGTACATAATCATGTATACACACACTCACATCTCTATATATTAGATATTAATTGTATATAAATGCATATATCCTGTACGGGTTATATCCTTCATCCTCAATTAGAGACCATTTAGCCTGAAGCTGTTTTTTATAACCTCATGGTAGTTGTTTGATCACTGGGTGAGAATAAATTAGGTTATAAACTCAGCTACTGACTATTTAACAGTGAACAATATTCTCACTCCAGCTGTGCTGTGTTTTATCCACAGTGATCCACAGCAGGCAATGAAAAGAAGCCTCTCAGGAGACTTGCACCTCAGGACAACTTGTCACTAGCCAGACCAGGGTTAGGTTTCAGACTCCAGCCCAAACAATTACACTAGATCTTTGCAGGACTAACTCTGGGAACTGAGTCACTGGCCACTGAAATAACTTTGTAGTCAAGATAGTGCCCATAAAGCTGTGACTCATTGTTTACAGAGATGCTGAAGTTGGCTGAAAAAATATTTACTTTGAAATGAAACCGGTCATTTCTTCAATCTTCTGCACCTTGAAAATATTTATATTAAGTAAGCACAACACTTACATTCCTGTGCTGTAAATATTTAGGAAGGGAAGCTCTTCAGTGATTCACAAAGCAGGACAATGCTGCTTTAAAATGTATAATGCTGTACATTTTACAAAAGTAGAGACTGAGGCAGAGGGGGTTTGAGTGATTGATTAGGCCACGAATATATTGGGTAATCCTGGACTAAGCAGGAAACTAGGGCTGGTGTTCAGCCCTCAAAATACCAGTACAGAAGGAAAATGATTACAGATTGGATTTGGCTCTGCTGTTCAAAAAGAATAGGTTATATTTTACATGGAACATATAGTGAGTGAGGGACTTTTCTCAAGGATGTTACACTGATTTAGCTTTGCACAAAAAGACCCCATCACATTTTACAGCTCATCAGGACTGAAGTACTTCATTGGGCTTATTTGTAAGGGTCAGCCAAGAACATTTTTGTGCACAGCAACATCACAGAGGTATTGTTAAAGATATCATAAATAAAGAAGGAAAGAAAAAAAGTAAAGTTAAAATCATTTTTATGTGGTTTTTTTTCCCAAGGGATAATAATTGCATAATAATGAGACTGCTTCCTTACTGACATTACCATTTTCAGCACTGTTATGATGTTTAAAATGAATGTAATGAATGAATGTTTAAGGTTAAAGTAAATTATAAACCTATTTTCCCCTTTACTCCTTCGATTCAACTAAGCAGACACACAAAACAAGATTGAGAAGTCAGTTAAAGAGAGTCCTTAAGGTTTTGAGGATGATCTGGTGACAATGAATGGTGCCTAAACTGCATTATCCTACTCTAAATTGAAGCTCTTGATGTTGGCCTTAATGGTAGGGGCTTTTTTAAAAGATGATCTCATGCCATGTTGTGGGAAGTGGTCCTAGTGATCCGTGCTGGTTGGTGGAGATAAAGTTAACTAAGCTGCTCACTGTTATTACAGATGGCACAAGTCTTCATCCTTTTGACAGACATAAACCTAATCAGCTTCTCCTAACGACAGATTTAAAATCATATAACATATTGCCTTGCCCAGCTGGGTCTACACTATTTATATTCATGTTATCATCTCCCACTAATATAAACAATATCCAGTTTCAGAACTTCACTCTTAATTTACAGGTGTATTTTCCATTTGCATTACTTCATCGTTAGCGAGTATGTCAGACACAGGCTTTGCAGTACTTTAACTCAGTCTCAGTTTTGCTGTTATACAAAATTAGGCACTATAATTAGATTCGTAAGCAGGGATTGTAATAGTGAATGAAAATTTGGGAAGAAAACCTTCAGAAATCACCTGCAAATGGCTG